TTTTACAATATAAACTGATATATATTTTATAATTATTTTATTAATTATTTATTTTTTTAACAATTAAATTAAAATAAAATTGTAATAATTTTAGCTCCCCTAACAAAATCAATGATAATGATAATTATTCCCCTCTAATTGTTCATAGTCCAGTCGGTCAGGCCCAGGCTGGCTTGTGACAAGCCCGTTAACCATCTGTACTTGCTACATTTCATGGACGAGTCCAAACTCGATCCTAACCAGTTCCAAATTTTTTTCGCTCTGATCGAGGAAAAATAAATATTAGAAAAGGTTTTTTTTTATAACATTCAACACGATTTGATTTTGAAATAGTAAAAATTTAATATAATTTTTGAATACAAAGGATTAATAACGAAAAAATTCTCTTAGTTCTTAAAAAAAAAAAAAAAAAAAAAAAGGAAAAGGGACTCAAGTTCCAGCAGTGGGCCTTTAGCATTGGTCCAAGCCTAGAGGGATCATAGTGGCCTTTTCTCTTCGTCCCCTCTCCCTTTGCAACTTCATCTGTATTCACTCTGGAGTCTGGACCTGACCCTACATCTGTGGAACTTGTGGAAGATCCTAGAGAAAGATGATTGAACAAGGCCCAAAATAATGCCAAAATCTTGAAGTTGAAGAATGTTTCATCTTCTGCTCTGCTCACCGGACCTTCGAACCCAGAACCCATGACTCGAGTGTTTGAAGACAAACACTCAGCCATTTGGACTGGGAAGAGGCCGGTGTTGAAGAATGTTTCATGATGGTGGATTTTAGTTTATTTGTAATTACTTGTTTTACTTTCTATTTCTACCACATAATTTATTTACACTACACTTAATTCCCAACAAAATGCCCACCATGCAACTTGACCAGGCCACTTGCCCTATGTATGCCGATGAGTTACATTCGGGGACACAATTAATGGAATGGACCTACACATTGTTTCCTTTAGCTCTACTCAGAAAAGGTCCATCCCAAGTATTTATAAATCTCAAGAGTTAAACCTATTAATAAGTACAAATTCATTTTATAGATTAAGTTTAGAATTTAAATTTTGATATTAACATTTAAAGAAATTAGTTTCTTTAAATATATCAACTTGATATGATGAGTGTACTTTAATGATTATTCGGGAAAGAATTAGTTTTGAGGTAGATAAAAACCGACAAAAAAAATTGAGACAATTAAAAAAAAAAAAAATCACAACCATGCATGTATGCTTAAGATTGTCTTTACTGGATCTATGCCTTAGGCATGTCTAGAAACATCCCGATTGTCCAAATAAAAAAAATAAATGATGCATACTTTTCACAATCATGCAAGTTATATATATCTCTATCAAGCCTACAGAAACATAAACAGAATTGGAAACGAGGTGAACCACTTAGAAACCATTCAAGTCCAGGTTGATTTTCGACATTAAAATGATCAAATATCAATCTCAAATTAAAAGCTATATATCTAATATCTCAATCTTAGTTTGTAACTTTATATTTGAATATTTTGTTTAACGAGAGCATAACAATCTCTAGCTAGTTGTATAATACTCCAAGTCAAGTTTGCCTCATCTAGCCAATAAATTAAGTCTGATTCATGTTATTAAAACAAACCTAACCTTGAAAGAAACAAGTTTTATATTATTGCAAAGGCGTGAAAGATTCTCTAACCATTCCTCTCTTAACTTGTCTCCAAATACCTATTGTTATTTGGCTCTTTTTAATGCATTTGATGATTTTGTCCTTAGTTAACATATTTTCTTTTTCTTTCTATACTTCTTTTTTCTAGACCTTTCAATTTTTTTTTAATATTTACTGTTAAAGTGTCATGATTTAATTTTCGTGCACTTTGAAATTAATTTTTACCCAAACAATCCATACCATCTCTCTATTACCCTCATTTTCAAAACCTTAAATCTTGTTTCCTCCAACCTCCGACCTCCCTTTGGCCCAAAAATAAAAAAATAAAAACCCTCCCTGTCTATCAATTATACTTGGTATCAATTTTTAAATATGGTTTTGGTTGGCATATATATGCGCAAGCATTGGCCGCGGGGGGGGGCGGGGTGGGGTAATCTAGTTTTGAATTTGTTTTTAGTTGAGAGGATTATTAGTTTAAGAGATTTGAGAATGTAGTGAGATTTGCAAGATATATATGGACAATGATATATGTGAAGTCCAAGAAGTCGGCAGCTACAGCCATCCTCTACCTAGTCCTAAATCAGATACAGAAGATGAGGGCTTGAAATTTGGATCTGAAGTAAAAGAGTTCTTTTCAACCAAGAAAAGAAAAGGGTAAAACGGGCTTGGAATTTCAGAAGAATAGTTATTGGATTAAAATGGTCAAGGCAATTATAAATTACTATAATGATATTAATAAAAGGAAATGCAGATTTTTAAGTCAACTTACAGAAAAACTTACAAAAATGTTCATAAAAAGGCATAAATATTATTAATGAATTAATATATATATAGTAATTTATTAAAAGTATTTACATAATTTCATATATATATTTTTTTGCATGTTGAATAAAAAAATATTTTTGTGTTAATGGAACAATAACCCAAACTAATAGCATACCATATGATTGTAAAACGGCTCATCCTCTTTGTATGGGTAAGTAACCAAGAATTATATGATTGTAAAAGGAGGAAGAGAATGCCATCATTGTTTAAATTTAATTCTAGGAGACGTTACACACCTAAGTCAATTACCAACTTAAGTGGAACGAGGCTTGCTTATATCAATCCCTACTTAAATTGAGTGATTGTGTTTCATAAAAATAATAATAATAGTAAGTGATTGTGCTTACTTTATTGTCTGACAATGGATTTGGAATAATAATTGTCTCTTGATTTTCTTTAATTTCTCAATTTCAAAAGCTAGTGGAAATGTGGGGTTAAAACTTTTTTTTTTTTCTTTTGTAAGTGGGGTTTAAACTTAAAACGTCATGGTTGAAAAAAATTAAATAGTAAAGATTCAATGCATAACCACCTTTTTTTTTTTTTTTAATATTGAGTTGTTCCAAAATCAATTTATACATGTCTTAATACCAATTTTTCTTTAGACAATATCAAAAACACACCCCCTATATGCGGTTGGTACTTTGAAAAATAAAATCAAATTTCTTTAATTGTTCACCTTAAAATTTAAAGTATAAACTTTACTTATAAATCTCTTATTTATCACTGTATTCTTGATGCCTAAATGTTTTTTTATTTGAACATTTGACGCCTAAATATAAGTATTAATTTTAGATTAATTAAAAACAAGTGCTAGCTCAACTGATTTATTTTAATTC